TGGATCATAACTGGGGGGTATATTCCATAATTTGTCGTTTTGACGGAGCCAACCTACTTCAGCCGTAGCCTTCCGATGAGGCCGACCCTAAAATCACTTGATCAGAGACACTTTTATACGAATTGGAAGTCTCGACAACAATGTTATCTTGGAGGATCAATCGCAGCTCAACTACCCTTTGTGTATACGACCCCAACAACAGCCGTCTATCCTAAAGCTGGGCTTTCCACTAAGCGCATGTTTCAGAATTCGCTTGCTTTTGTTCTGAATGTTTTCCGAGTCCCACATAGTTCCCGATCGGCCAGTTGTAGGTCTTCAAATGTGGATCTACCGGTCACCTGACGTGCACTGGTCGGGACCCAATTTATGATTTCCCATCCGAGCCTCGCCCACTGGACACACTCTTGCGTGAGTTTTGATGTGGTTACGGCTACTTTGAGCCGTTCACGAAAATGACCAACGGGCAGCCTAGGTCGCTTAAAGTGATGCGCGAACCGAGAGAGGAGTTTCTATCATGCATCACAATACCATTTAATTTCACACAGCCCCAGTCTCGAAAGGTTTTCTCATCCTCGCAATGGCATTCGAGCCTGGGTCGTTCGCGGCAATGTTAAATGTTTCATTTCAGCAACACAGCCACAGATGGATGCCAGATGTGATTTCCACGGCGAGCCAGGCCTCGGCTAAATCACATTCAATGAGGCAAATGTGCATTTGCAAGTATAGTTGATGGTATTACTTATTTCATGTGTGAGTAACTTACGAGACTATCAGCAACTCTTGATAAATATTTAGTCAGCTTATTTGCGAACCACTGATAATCGCGAAAGCTACTCCAGCAAAGATTGGATTATCCATCTCGTGTAATGCAACTTTAATTTTTATCCCATGCTCATCTATTCCAATTCTGTTGATTATAGCTCCATTGAAAAGTTGTTCGAATTCATTGATAAAGATGGCTCCGGTAAAGTATCTGCTGGCGAATTGAGCCGTGCCATGAAGGAATGTGGCTTGAATTATTCAGATCAAGAAATCAAAGACATCATCTCTGCGGTTGACCAGAACCACGATGGCATGCTCGATATGGAAGAACTAAAGAAAGCCCTAATGAATCATTAAAACCTCGTTTAGTAAAGTATATTACTGTTTATTAAACTTTTGTAAATGATCTAGACTAAATAAATGAGATATGTAAGGAGAATAAAATGCAATGTCCTCAGACTTTCTTTATTGTCCAGGGAAAATGGGGTAAATAGGGTAAATGGGTAAAATGGGGCCGCTTCCATGCTTAATACGAGAAGGAATTTTTGCATTAATCGTCTCGGATGAATGATTTGCCATATGGCAGCATGGCAAAGATAGTTTAGATAATTTCTTGTTCTTATTTGACCAGATTTATTGCAATGTTGAGGCGGCAA